GGGGGGGGGGGGGGGGGGACAGACAATATCACTTCCACTTCACTAGGTCACTCATTCAAACGAACATTCTCACGTTTTGTAAATTTGTAGTAAAACGATAAAATTATCTCTAGATTTTTTATATCAAAAGAATGTTTTTAACGCATTCATGACTGAGATAATTTCATAATTACGAGGGGTTTGATAATTTGAAGGAGATATATTCAAGAATTCTACGAGGATTATTCTGAGAATATATCAAACACTTGCGGAACTACCGGAAAATGTCAAAAGATTTTTTTGTAGCCCAAGGAATTCTCTACAAAACAATGTTAGGAGTTTTTTTTTTCTAGCTCGTTAAATCCTCTATAAAAAATGTCTGTGGTTATTTTTCATCAAAATAATGCCATCATCACAGAAAACTTAACAATGCATAGAAGATGCATAGAAGATGCTAGAATTTCACGAGAATTATTCTAGAAATCAGTAACAAAGCGGTAAAACCGTTTAAGTCAAATTAGCCCTTGACTGAGTTTTCGAGGAATATCTCCGAATCTAAGAAACGAAGACACTGGAGATAACGAAATTTTTGTGATAACCTTTTTTGTAAACCGCATTGAGAGCTACAAGAAAGGTCAGACCAAAAATTTTGCTATCTCCCTTAGATTTCAAGATATTCCTTAAAAACTGATCCATAGTCAAAATGAACTTGAACCATTTCGTCGCTTCGCTATTGAAAGATTTTGAAAATTAGTGAAAATATTTTAAAATGTTAGATCCATTTTTCAACTCGTAAAATTCTCTACAAAAATATGTTCTGAGATTCATCTCTAAGCCCACTCATCATCGTAATAAAGCCATGATTACAGAAAGATGTAAAATTCTAAGGAGGAAAATTCAAGAGTTTCACAAGTATTACTCAGCAAATATTTCAAAATCCAGTAGAAATAACGAAAAATGTCAGAAGACTTTGTTTTCCGCTCGCAAAATTCTCTACAGAAAATATCTTTTGACATTTTCTTCTAAACCCACTCATTATCGAGATAAATCCATTATCACCGGGAATTCACTAATTCAAAATTATTTTGAAATTCAGGGACTTCATAATAATGACTCTGCAAATATCCCAAAAACTAGTGAAAACATTGAAAAATGTCAGAAAATTTCTCCAGCCCATAAGATTCTCTCCGAAAAAAGGTCCTGAGACATTTTCCTCGAAACCTCTCCCTCAAAAGCACACGAGCAAAATCATCTGTCCATTCGTTTTTGCAGACATTTTCGTTTAGGATGAAGAAGGCTTTACGAAAGGTAAAAATTACCTCGTCCTCGTCGACTCCTGGGGCTTGATCAGTGGCATCACGAAGTGTCTGCCACATCTTGTGAGCTGCCTGGCGTTTGGCCAGCTTCTTGCTCTTGCCCTGGCCCACCTGACGATACTTGAGCATCGAACAGACAATGGTGAATTGCCTCTCGTGGGGAAGACCAGCCTCACCCTCCATTGTGTATTTCGGGGGTGGCCAATGACGTGACATACACATCTCCTGAAGTGATCCTATCGGATTGTTTATCACTTTTTCCTCACCATAACTGCCCTGCATATCTTGAATATTCTGGGTTCTGGAGAAAATTAAGAAAATTGATAAAAAAGAGAAGGAAAGATGATCATAAGAAACAGAACTATTCAATTGAAAAATAATCTTTGTGAACATGAATTGAAGATTAACAAACAAATAATTAAACTGAAATTGTAGATTAGGCAAATTACTTGATCGATTATGAAAATAGGAATTGGGAATAAATGAACTCGAAAAGAATGGATGATAATGATCTTTTTATGTGGAAATAATTGTTAAAAAATGAAAAACAGTAGAAAATGGAAGTGGAAAAACGAAGAATTAAAAACCCATCAATTTCTGGATTCTGGAGATGAAGGAAATTGATAAATGCAATTGATTTAAAAAAGGAGAGATGACCATGAGAAACAGAACTATTTAATGAAAAAATAATTTTTATGAACATTAATTGAAGAAAAACAAATAAATTATTAAACTGAAATTGTAGATTAGTAAAATCCATTGATTGATCATGAAAACAGGAATTGGGAATTAATGAACTCGAAAAGAATATCTGCTAATGATAATTTTCGGCCGAAATAATTGTTTAAAAATGGAAAACAGTAGAAAATGGCATTTAAAAAAACGAAGAATTAAAAATCTGTCAATATTCTGCATTCTGGAGGATAAGAAGGGAATTGATGAATACAATTGATGAAAAAGATATGAAGAGAAGATCATAAGAAAGACGTCTATTAAACGATAAAAGAATCTTCATGGACATAGATAGGAGAAAGACAAACAAATCATTAAATTAAAATTGGAAATTACGAAAATCAATTGATTGGTCAAGAAGAGGACTTAAAACTAAATGGAATGGAAAAAGAATGGATGATAGTAATAACATTATGTGGAAACAATAGCTTGAGAAGGGAAAACAATAGAAAGTGAATTGGAAAGAGATAAAGAATGAATAAATTCATCAATCGCCATTAATATATAGCGTTGTTAGCTTATCAATCTAATTCAGTGTTAAACCTTTCAAGTATATGATTAGTTTTTATCCGCCTTCACTCGCCTAGTAAGTACAGTTGGATATAAAAATAAAATTGGAGAAAAGAAATGTGGAAAATTAAACAATCCATCAATCAAGTGCAAACATTGTGATATATTTGAAAAAATTAGAATTAGGAAAGGAAAAGAAAAAAAAATTTATGAAATGGAAATTCCACTCACTCAGGAATGCTATTAGGAATAGGTGTCTCAGGAGTTTCAGTATTGACTCCAATCAATTTATCAAGTACAGCCTTGGCAGCTGCGTGTTTGGCGTCCTTCTTGGACCTTCCGGTCCCCATTGCTGAAACAATTGGATCTGCTTCAATCGCTTAATCCTTATCCTGCCCGTCTCAACCCCTTCCCCGAGTATACAATCAACATTGAATTTCAATGAAAATCTAATGGAATTTCGAAGTTGTTGAGCAGTAGGAAGACAAGAATTCTCCAATTCCATTGAATTTTAAATGAAAATATTTTGTGTCAAATTACGTGGAATTTGCAATTATTCTCTCAATTTCTATTAATTTTTGTGGAATAGTTGCACTGAAATTTAATTTTTATCGTTTTTTTCATTATATTGTGAATTTTTAATGACGACATTTGTGTACAATTGTCGTTTGATACAAAAAATTTCAAGAATTGTATTTGATTCTGTTGCTTATTATGTAATTGTCGTCTGAGGAATCTTCCAATGTGTAATAATTCTTTTTAAAGAAGGAACAAATTCGAAGAAAATTTTTGTTTTTGTTTTAAAGAATGTGTTAATAATGCTTGATAAAACTTTATTTCAATGTGCTTCAGTTTTTGAACTCTGTGCCCTATCCATAAAAAAAAGTTTGAAGTGCGTTGAAAAACAAATTGCGTTCAATTTCTAATAAATAAAAAATTGCAGAATATATTTGTCTGAATTTTGATAATTTCTGTCAATTTCCATTGAATAATTGAAATGATTCGCGCATGTCATTCACTTTCCACTAGTTTTTCCATCAAGTTAACAATTTTAAATTACGAATTTCCTTGAAATTCTAGTGAAACTGTAAAATTTCCAGGAATTTTAATTGGTTCTTTTGAAAAATTACTCAATTCTTGACAGAAAGATCTTCCAATTTGCGTCAATCTTCAAACCTTTTGCCCCATCCACGACAAAAAATTCGAAAATTTTCATTCGTGGCCATTTTTTTTTCTCTCAATGCACAATGCTTAAGGATATTTATCCATTTTCCGAAAATCTATTTCGTCATGTCCGAGAAAAATTCTTCGATTTTTTAGGCTGAGTGGAAAACATCCGAGACCAATATTTCTGATAATTAAGAAAAATAAGTTGCGTTAGCTTTGACGAAATTGAATAAAAAATCATATACACGGCCTCTTATGGGATTTATCGTCAAATTGATAATTCACCTTCTGGAAGACTTGAAATATAGACATAAAAATAGAGGCCAACGTGAAAAAATATACTGAGTTCAATGGCTTCAAAGCCCTGAGCCCCATATAAACTGGAGCTAACGTCTGCATTCACTGCACATTATCTATTTTACTTCTGAATAATGAACTCAGGTTATTCGATTAAACTTTTTATCACTTTGAAAAGAATAACTCTGTCTATCAGTTGAATAAAAATCCAAAAACTTTTACTGCTTGTAGTCTGTAATAAGCATCCGTAATGTTCCTGGATTCTCTTCTAAATGGCTAATTATACGAACCAACGACATCAGCAACGGTGACACGATATCTGAACGTCGGCTCATGAACTGCACCCTCGATCTGGACCAGCTCATACTTGGGCGTAGTTCCACGTCTCGACAGTAACTCTTGGAGTACAGAGACTGGTGTCTTAGTGGGTAATGATTTCATCTCAAGCCTGGCTGCCTCATCCAGCGGCAAAGCTTCGGACATGAGTGCGTGCATCGTGACTCGGGCTCTTCCGCGACGATGAGTGTTATTCAAATGATTTAATACTGGATTTGCTGGTGTCGCACCGGTCATAATATTGCTGCCAACCTGCTGAGGATGACGCATTTCCTCCATTCTAGGTTACTATAATGGTGAAGAATAAAGGGATGATTTTTTTGGGGAATTGACTGAAGAAATTGAAGGAATCCTATGCGAATTATTCTGCAAATATCTCTGGAACTGTTTGATTTTGAGAAAATGGAAGGTGAACACTGAGAGGAAAACGAACGAGTTCTCAAAAGTTTTGATAATTTTCAACAAACGATTTTTTTGGCACAAGCAAGAATTCTTTGAGAATTCTGCTGTTTTTCTCTCAATGCATAATGTACTACTGTGTAGTACAGCTAGTTTAAGGGGAGACTACTGTGAGTTTTAAAAGTCGTGGGTTATTGGAGTGAGACTTTTCATACGTTGAAGATCGATTATATAGATCTGAAAACGAATAATTAGTGCAAAAAACATTTTTTTTCATTGTTCGTTTGCCCGAAAACGCTTAAAATGCCAAATACAGTCCAGGGCCCCCAATTTTTGGCCTACGAATGATTTTTTTTTCTCAAAATTTTCGGAAAAATATGTAGAATAACAATTATGAGCTATTTTTTTTAAATTTAAATCTTACATGGCTAAATTTGCTTTTTTTTGTATTTTTTTACACAAATAGTGAATTTTTTTATATGAAAAAAAACGAAATCAGCTGTGTAGGAGTCGAATTCCAAAAAACTGGCTCGTAATTGTTGTTCCACACATTTTTCCGAAAATTTTGAAAAAAAATCCTTTGTAGCTCAAAAATTGGAGACTCTGGACTGTTTTTAACATTTTAAGCGTTTTCGGGCAAACGAACAATAAAAAAAAAAATTTTTTGCACTAATTACTCGTTTTTAGATCTGTATAATCGATCTTCAACGTATGAAAAGTCTCACTGCCATAACCCATGACTTTTAAAACTCATAGTAGTCTCCCCTTAATTAATTAATTTTTTTCAAGAGCTGGGGAATCATATTATAGACATTATTTATGAAACACAAGGGAATAATCGTAAGAAAAACGCGTTTTCTGGGGGTACACCAGATTTTCATCTCAAGAACTTTAAGGTTTTTATTTTAAGAACCTCTTGTTCTTGATTTAAGTACCATAGATCCAGGATTTCAGTAAAAATTATTGAAAACTAGAACTTTTTGCCTTATTTTCAGAGAAATTACACTGGAATCCAATACTTTTTGCACTCGTTTCCACTTTGTTTTTTAAATATTTTTCACAAATGTTTGTATTCATGGAGGATTTTGACTGCAAAACAATTGTCCTTTAATTAATTAGAAAAAATGAATCAATAAAATATTAGTTATAATACATTACATTATATTATATTGTATACATATTTTGTATGCTTTTCTTGAATTCTGGTCTCAAGTCACTGGTTTCTGAGATATTCGCAGATATACGCAGAACATTTTTGGAGTTATCTGTTTTACTACCCCTGAAAACTATTGATTTATGACTCGATAAAATGCTATTCCAATCGCTTCTTTATAACTGCACGTGTGCCATTAACAGAATTTCATGTACATTTAGGTATTCCTGAACAGAATGGTTCGTTCGGAGGAAAAAAATTATTTTTTGATTTTTTAAATCCACGTATAAAATAATTCAATTGGAAAAATAGCGTTGTCTGTAAGAAATTCTATTGTATCGCTATGGGAACTCTATGAAAATTCTGCTGGAGTTCAGTAAAAACTCTATTAATTTTTTCGGCTAATTCTACTGAAGATTATGAAATTATCCTGTGCCAGTTATTTCGATATTTGAACGAAAAATTGACCATACATTCCAATTTTTCTATAAAAATTCTTGAGCATAAATTTTCTAAGTTTTTTTCTGCTACATTTTTGTTTCTCATAATAAAATACAAGAAAAAAACTTTAAAAATTGATGCCCAAGAATTGGCGCAGGAGACGGATAGTTTTTTTCAAGAAGAATTCTTATGGAATTTCAGTAGAAATTCAAGAGAATTTCTTAGAGAAAACCCTAGGTTTTTGTGTTAACTTTTTCAAAAACCCCACATATCATCAAATTTTAATTTTTTGAGCAAAGTGCCCCACCATAATACTTAATTAAATATACAATTTGCATGCTCCAAATAAAATCATCTCTCCAGAAAATGAGAAAAAAAATTATTTCGACTGGAGAAGAACCTTACGATAATTCTCTCTTTCAATGAAATCAAATCCAAAAGAATATCGATTCGTGCTCCAAATGTACCTAAACCCGGAGCGCAATCTCTAAATTCGATTACATTGCCATTAGACTGCACACTGCATTAAATAGTAACATCAACTTCTGTAGACTTTTTTCAATAAAAAATATCTATTGAGGAACTCGCGGCAAATTTGCATAATTTTTAATAGAATTAGCACGAAAAACGAATAGATCTCTTACAACCGAATTCTTACAGTTCCAATAGAAATTTACAAGTTTTTCTATTAATTTTTTTCAAACATGCCGAGTTTTTTCATCAACATTAGCAAATAAATTTCCAGGAATAATGGAAAATTAATTTTCGAGCGAAGTAACCCCACCGTAATACTTAATTAACTGAACACTATTCATGCTCCAAATAAAATCATCTCTTCAAAAAAAAGAGAAAAAAAATTGATTTCGACTGGAGAAGATCCTCCCGATAATTCTCTCCGTCAATAAAATAAAATTCAGAGAAATATCGATTCGTGCTCCGAATGTACTTAAACTCGGAGCGCTATCTCCCAGAAATTCGATTGCATATTGCTATCGGAACTCTGTAAAAATTCTATTGGAGTTCTATTAATTTTCTGCGCTAATTCTATAGGAGATTAAGCAATTTTATCGTCTCATCAAAAAGTCAACAGATTTTCACTTTTCTATAGAAATTCTTGAGCATAAATTTTTATAATAAAATCCGGGAGAAACAAATTAGGAAATTCATGACCAAGAATTATGATAGAAATATTTCAATCCATTGTATTAGATAGAAACATCAACTTCTGTAGACTTTTCCATAAAAAATATCTATTAAAAAACTCATGACAAAGTCGCATAATTTTTAGTAGAATTGACACGAAAAACAATTAGATCTCTTACAATAGAATTCGTATAGTTCCAACAGAAATTTACAAGTTTTTCTATTAATTTTTTTCAAACACGCCGAGTTTTTTCATCAACATTAGCAAATAAATTTCCAGACATAATGGAAAATCAATTGTCGAGGGAAGTAACCCCACCATAATACCTAATTAACTGAACACTATTCATGCTCCAAATAAAATCATCTCTCCAAGAAAAATTAGAAAAAAATTGATCTCGACTGGAGAAGAACCTGACGATAATTCTCTCCTTCAATAAAATAACATCCAGAAAAAATATCGAATAGTGCTCCGAATGTACTTAAACTCACAGCAAAAATTCCCCCAAATAATGTTCTTGCCTACGTGGAGACATGTATTCCCAACTATTATTCAATAGACAACAGGACACAAAATCAAACGACCACAATAAATTCCCGGAACAATGACTCACGATGGCGAATCGCTCGAATCGAAATCCAAAGACAATTAGCCACAATGAAGGACTCAAACAATGACCCCAAAAGTAAACGACAAAATAACTCCAAAAATACACACAACATCAGCCATATTATTGCAAGTCACATCGATTAAATTAGTTAAAAAACGAGAAAAAAATTACCGAGACATGATACACATGGTAAATTCACTTTGTGCCAACAATTTTTTTCCGAATACTTGATCCAATGAAAAATCACAAACACAGGACAATAGAGTGGACAGCGAATAAAATGAAAATGAGAAAATCAACGAAATTATAAGCGAAATAGTCAAGCACTTTTCAGCGATGTTCCCTACTATAAGGGACGCCCAACCTAAACCGACCCGTTGAATCGACCCGAACTGAGGCGATGAGGAGAAAAAAAAAGACAGATAGATACGTCGACTTGATATGGGTTACTCACGGGAATTATTATTCGAGGGCGAGAAAATTAATAAAACGCGTGACGATGTTCCCTCACTTTCCCAACTTTATGCACTTGAACTGTGTTTATCAATTTCCTATGCGAAAAGCGAATCCCGCTTTTTGTGACTGATCCAAGTCTCACAAAAAGCTTGATCCGTTTGACGACAGAAATTTGTGTGGATTTTTTTTAGTAGAGCTACCCCACTGGGATCCGTGGAGTCCTTTCGGGTGTGTGATGGCCAACGGAAATTGTCGGGGGAATTGGGAGGGAGCGCCACTAGCGAGCGATTCGCGTACTTTGTTCAAATTGTCGGGTCGTGCGTTTTATTTGCGGAGAAATCTAAGAATGTCGCTGGAAATGGTTTTTTAATAAGTCTCTACGACTTACAACTCTCAAGATGTTATCATTTTGGCTTCGGAATTGAAGCTTTGTATTTGGAAAATCCGAAATTTTGTATTTTAACGTAGATACGTCTCCGGTTTTAAAATGGGGGGTCATTTTGGGAAACGGTCCTTATGTGCAGCGCCATCTATCGGAGTTCTAGAAAATTTTAGACATTTTGAGGTACTTCGAGAAGTTTCTTGAAATTTCGAAAAAATTCAAGGAGTTCCCATTTTACTAAAGATGAAAGAAACGTGAAGTTGTTTTATATCGAAATATCTCGAAACTGCCTGACCGCTAATCCTTAATTCTGATTGGTCAATATGTGACACGAAGTTATTCACAAAAAAAAACACGCAGCATTTTCAAATTCTTCAGTGACATAATTTCAAATTCTTCAGTGGTAATAGTATATTTCGTAACGAGTGCAAAAAAGTGTTTTTTCGCAAGTGGGAGGTTTATATCACGAGCCGAAGGCGAGTGATATAATCCCACGAGCTAAAAAACATTTTTTCACGAGTTACGAACAATATTTTTCATCACAATGTGGCGGAAATTAGACTTTTAGGCACGCGGAGCGTGCCGAAAAGTTCACTTTTCGTCACAGCGTGATGAAAATTTTTTTTTCACGTCATACATATATATAATAGTATATTTCGTAACGAGTGCAAAAAAGTGTTTTTTGGCGAGTGGGAGGTTTATATCACGAGCCGAAGGCGAGTGATATAATCCCACGAGCTAAAAAACATTTTTTCACGAGTTACGAACAATATTTTTCATCACAATGTGGCGGAAATTAGACTTTTAGGCACGCGGAGCGTGCCGAAAAGTTCTTTTTTCGTCACAGCGTGATGAAATATATATTTTTCACATGTATATATATCATCGGTGAAATGAATAAACTTTGTCCTTTTATGGAGACCGATTATTTTAAAAAATTGAAGATAATTAATTGAAAATGAAAAATTCTTTATAGATTCCTTTACTCTACTTCGCTATTCACTTCAATCATTAGTCGAATTCTCTTTGATTCATTATCAATATTTATAAGGTATTCATGAGAAAATGAAATTTAATGAATTCCATTTCTTCATTTCAACAAATAAGTTATTGATCTATCGATGATGTAGGAAATTCATATAAATTACCGATGCCCCATTCAACTGCGTGTATAAGTAGCAACTTCACAAATTATTCCCATTATTATCGTTTAAGTAGGGGTCTTGACATTTTGCACACGGCTTTCAAATAGATCGAATAATCTGTTCAGCAATTTTATGGACTCCGCCGTAATACCCTTAAAACCTGCTTGCATGGCCATAGAAGCCTCATTATTAAAAGATTCTATTAAAATCGATTAAAAAATATGAAATTCTTAAATTAAAATCGGATAGAAGAAGAAAGTAAAAGGAAACAACAATAACAGCCTATTTATTGTAACTTGAGAATGTCTCGTTATCATAACCGACTTACGAGCAGTCGACATACGCATCGAATAAAGAGGATGTCTTGAAATGTCTGAAAGACTCTTTAAATTGAATAGAATTAATAAATTGGAAAATAAATTTCTTTTCTGAAATTTATTGGAATCAGCCTAGTATCCATCTAGTTCTATTCTCAACAAATTAAATCAGCAAAGGGCATCAGCAAACCTTAAGGACATTCGGCTTTGGTCTCGGTCCCTGGAGTAGAAAGCATATTTTTTTGCTTTGACCCGAAATAGAGACCGTCAGTAAGTATTGTGTTTGGATGTAACATATTATTAGGATTATTGGGAATACCAAATTTTTGAGTTTTTCATCTTTATTTCGTTCTGTGAAATATCAAATATTTTAGGATAGAGCGGAACAAATTGAAACAATTGACGGGAAAAATAATTGAGAAAGAATGATTAAAAAACTCAATCCTTCTACTTTTTCCCGTTCTCCCCTATTTTTTAACCCGTCAGTAGGCGCGCTATGAGCGTTTCCCTCGCGAAAATGTTCACTCCATAGGAAATACCCTAAAAGTGCAAATATTTTGCTGAAATTTCTTAAATGACTCAAGTAACTTTTCTAGTTAAGTCTGGTGGTACTAAAAGTCGTCTATCGGTTAGGATTGAGTAGAAAAAAATTGTTTTTTTCGGCTCGACGGAAATTTTTCACGTGTTACGGGTACGGGACTCGTACCGCTGAACCCCGAATAGTGCCGCTTGTGCCGATATTTGGATTCGTTCTCACGAGAAGTCGATAAGGGATTCCGTCATCGCGCGTCTCAAGAATGATGGTGGAACAGCGCGCCTACTGACGGGTTAAAGATCGAATTTGAAAATTTGGTAGCTCAGCTATGGCCCAAAAATGGTTACAAAATAACTTCTTAGAAGTGCATTTTTAGTTTCACAATGCTTCGTAGACTAAAAATCGAAAATTAAATTCAGCAATCGATTAAGAAACATCATGAATAGATCTCGGTAGGTTGATGTCGATATTGACCTCTCTTGTTCTTTCATATAATCTGTCCGATTGATTGAATGCAAATCGACACTACGTATGGGACAGAAAGTAATCATCTTATTACCATTCAATTTTCTCGATCAGATGTAATGACTGAAAAGCGTATTAGCATAGGAAATTCATAGCACTCACGCATTCTACACTAATTCTGAACTTCTGCGTCACTGATTTCAATTATGCCACAAACAATGTATGACTACATTTCAAGTGTGAAGTGTCAATCACCATCGTATCCAATCCTAATATCCCCCACAAAACTCATAAATAGACCGAGTGAACCACGTGAAGCGTTATTCACCTGATTCTCACAATTAGGGACTTACTGTCATTCGAGATGTCCGTGGACATGAGATCAGTGTGCGATATTTATCAATCTAAATCCGTCTTGATAACGGGGAGTACTGGAAGCCTGGGAAAAATTTTGGTAGAAAAACTTCTTCGCTGCTGTCCTGGAATCGTACACATCTACTTATTAGTGAGGCCAATTCATCAGTCCAGCACAAGTGCGTCCCAACGATTGTCGAATTTCTTGAAATCACCGGTATGTGTATCCCCGAAAATATTTTTCCGTACTGATCTTCACTTTTGCTCGTCCGGGGATTGGTATTGGCCCTTCTCCAAACTCGTAAAAGTGAAAATCACTACGGACATATATCGTTCAAGACTAGTGCCATGCGGTTTTTTTACTCGCGCGGTTGGCCAGTCCTCGCCTTCGGCTCCGACGCCAACCCTGAAATATACTATTATGCCACTCATGCCTGAAACCGGCTGGATTACACACTCGACGCTTCGCGTCTCGTGTCTAATTCAGCCGGTTTCAGGCTTCGTGACATAAAATTTTGTTCAGTACTTGTTGGGAAATTTCGTCCTTAACGTGTGTGGTTACATCACTCGCCTTCGGCTCATGCTGTAAACCCCACACACGTTAAAGACGAAATTGCCCACACGTGCTGAAATATACTATTTCGCCCCGGCGGGCGCAAAGTACGCATTCTCCTTCTCTTCGCGGGAAGAAAATCTGACTTTGCGCCTATGCCGCGGCGAAATAGTATTTTTCCGGGCTGCTGCGATGGGGTTTTTTACTCGTGTGGCGTTGGCGTCCGAGCCGAAGGCGCGGACTGGCCAACCACCCGAGTAAAAAAACCCCATTGCAGCAGCCCGGGACAAGATTTTTTTGTAGTGATTCTCAGATTTTCGAGTTTGGGAAGTATGCAATACCAATTCCCAGACGAGAAATCGTGAGAAGCAGTACAGAAAAAAAATTTTTTCTGCCTTATGATGAAATGTACAATTTTTTTGATCAAATTTACCACGAAAAGGGAAGAAAAATAGTACCTGTACTTTGGGAGGTCGGGAGGCCATCCTGATCCCCGTGTTTTCACGCGTGGGTCAGTATCACCTCCCTTCCTCTCTTGGTTCCCAATGTACTATTTTTTCGTTACGCCGTTTGGCCATGCTTCACTTAGGAATACTGTGCACGTTAGTAATTTTTAGGAAAGTAACATGGAATTTGATCTAAATGCGAAATAGATCGTAATATTTCACACTTTAGTAAAAAGTGGACTCTGGGGATGAAATTCCAAATTTTTGGAGAGCAGGGAGACGATAACTGCCCAACTTACTTGAATGTTCAATGAAAACAGGAATATTCAGTACCAAATTATGCAGAATTTTCAAATAATTAACAATTCAAAAATGTATTTACCTCATTTTTTTATTTCTATCAACCTTCATCGAATAATTAAATTAAAATTCATAGTATCTATTGATTTTTCCATAAATTTTTGAATCTCGAATGACGAAATTCCCTAAAATTTCAGAGGATCTATAATATAATAAAAATGTGCAAAAAGTCTACCACAAATTTCAGCCAAAAATTTTGAATAATGTGTGTAGAGTTTATTGTGACTATGTACTAAATTTGTCAAGGTAATATTTGTTTTTATTGTGATAATAATATATAATGACGATTTGTGTTCTGACAAGGGTCTAACAAGTGCAGACAACTTTAATTTAATTTTCGATTTTTTTTTATAAATAATTATGAGGTTTGTACCTTATTTTGTGTATGTTTGGTTTTCAGAGCCTAAAGAAGCTGCAATTTATCAGCGAAACGTCGCGATTTGACAATAAAATAGTATTGCTAAACTCTTCCAATATCCCGTGATTTTTTCCCATTAATAATGTACTTAACAAAAACAGATGGAATTCTTTTAAGAAGGCGTTTGTCAAAACCTCGTGTTTCCAGTTATTCAACAAACTACGTAACGACGACGCTCATGTCTTCAATAAAATAGTCCTGGTAGAGGGTGATTTGAAGCTGCCGAACATAGGCATCTCCGCGAGCGACAGAATATCCCTAATGAACAATGTATCTGTTGTATTTCATTGCGCTGCAGATATGAAATTCGATGCTGAACTGAAAGATATCACATCAGTCAACGTTTTCGGAACACGCCGCTTACTCCAACTCTGTAAGCAAATGAAGAAGCTTGAGGTACGAACTTCATTGATCCCAAACATTACTTGACGTTCTGAAACTTTGCATGATAAAATTAACATGATGTTTCACAGGCTTTCGTTTACGTATCAACATTATACTCCACATGCCACAATGCAGTCATTGAAGAATGCGTTCCTCTCATTCCGCCTTTCAATGGGATAGCGGATTGGAACGAGCGCGATGAAGATGAAGTCGTTCACCTGACACCGCAGGAATTATTGGATCAATGGCCGAACACATACACGTTCTCCAAGGCTGTTACAGAAATCATGCTGGATGGGTATAAGCATTTGATACCGATTAGCATTGTTCGACCATCAATTATTCTGTCGACTCTGAGGGAACCAATGCCAGGATGGATTGACAATTACTATGGACCAACATTGATGATCTGCAATAGTTCACTTGGTTTGAAGAGGTACGCTGATGTGAAAATCTATGCTCACATTTAAAATATTCTCTGGAGTTGAGAAAATATTTTCGAGTGATGAGATCCCTCAGACATTTAATTTTTTTGCATCTCTATGGAGATGCAAATGTGTTACGTGACCCGTCGAAAATTAAATTAAATCTTGTGAGGCAATAATGACCTTCATAAACGTATCCAGTACAGTATTGTTTACAAATTAAGAGAAGTAAATGGCTAAGAGACCTCGGGTGTAGAAAAAAACTACTGAAATTCCGGAAAACTTTGGGCCGTAAATGCTCAGCCAAAAGGGGACAGAAAAGTTCACAAGATGGCTCAAGAAATTTGTTCTTTCTATGAAAATCGGATGAAGTCAGTTGAAGATGATCTAAAAAGGATAAATAATATCGAGGAATGAGTAAAAATATGATGTGGGCGCGCCGACATCTTTAAAGCACCTTGCGACAGAGGGAGGGGATATCCAAGCAAGATGGCGGCGCCCATCTGTAAACCACCTCGAGTTTTTGAACATTTCTGAAAATTCTTTATCCTCTTCAGATCACCTCCATCTCGTTTCATTCAATTCTTAGAGAAGGAACAAATTTTTCACGCTATCCATCAGATTTTTTCATTTCTTTTTGGCTACAAATTCATGGTGCTGTTTTCCCCACATTTCAGCATAGTTTTTATTTCTCCCGAGGTCTCTCAACAAAGTTTTGTGAATGATGGAAAATAAGTCAATGAAGTCAATGTTAATTGATAATATCTTTACCTTTAGAGAATGGTTCATGTTGGTAATTTTATTTAAGATATGATCCAGTTCTCCCAAAATGAGAAAATTTCCGAATACATGCATATAGCCATGAAATTGATGACAAGTTCATCAATAACTGCACCCTCCATTCAATCATTGTGGCCATTTAGAATTACATAATAATAATCCGGTCAATTTTTTCATCGCCAATTTGAATTCTTTGCTATTTTTTTATGCATTCTATGAAAATGTGAGGATAGGAATTGAATTTATGCGTATTAGTTCATTATTCGAAAACATATCATTTTTCAAATTTTTCCTAGACATTGAAAAATTAAAAATTTTGTTTTCATGTTGATCTTGTTTCTCTTCCTCTTTCCACTTTCTTCCATCAGAATCAGATAATAGGAAGAAAATACATTGGTTTTTATTCATTATTTAAAAAAAAACGTTTTCAAATTTTCAAGATTGAAAAATCGATTTTTAAAATTTATTTCTAATTTTCCGTCTCTACATCTCCCGTATTGCTTGTTTCTGTGAACGGAATACGATCACAGGAATTAAAAATGCTAATCTCCCTCCATTTTTTAAGAAGGAAAAAACAATTTCAAAAATTTCGAAGACAGAAAAATAGATTTTTTCATTCTATTGATGCTGATTGATGATAATCGATCTCTCTTTCCAACTTCCTTCTTCGATTCCATTGAAATGAGATCAAAGGGATGTAAAATGTTCATATTCATTCACATTTTTAGATCATTGGTACTAATTAATTTAAAGAAAAAGAAAGAAATGAAAAATTTTAAGTATGATTATCGAAAATTGTTTGTCGATCTGTATTCTCACGTGATTTATGGAAAATTTCTCGTCATTGAATGTTGTAACTTGTGAATTAAGGAACAACAACTAGCAAGGCGCGAAGCGCCCGTTCGCTAGTTGATAATTAACGAAAAAAATCACTGCTCAGTTTGTTAACATTCCCGTAAAATGTTACGCATCACAGATCTTTACACGGCTATCTCCAAGGTGTAGCCAACTTCATCCCAACTGACTTGGTTGTGAATGTAATCATTTGTGCCGCATGGAAAACTGTCCAGCAAAATTCTCCCGTGATGAAAATTTATAATTGCTGTACCGGTAAGCGGAATCCCATAACTTGGGGACAATTCGGGAAAGAGTGTCTGAAGAATTCGAAGAAGTATGCGTGCAAGAATATGCTTCGCTATCCACACACTACATATTCAACATCTCGTTTTGTTCATCGAATTATCTCCGCTACACAGGAATACCTGGTGGTATATATTCATGCTATGACCAATGGTAATTTCAAACTGGTAAGGATTCAAAAACGGCTGACTCGACTTTGGGAATTGGTTAGCTTCTTCTCTAATCGTGAGTGGATCATTGATGATAATAATGTAGTGGAGCTCAACGATCAACTTAGCCAAATGGATAAGAAAATATTCTGTATTGATATGGGAATAATTGACTGGCCCACATATTTAGAAAATTACGTCAAAGGAATTAGAGTGCATCTTTTGAAGGACAGCATGGACAGCATTAAGGAAGGTCGAGCTCGTCTCAATGTGTAAGTTTCACCATAATTTTTTATTCAATTGGGATCGATTTCACTCGCAACTTATTTATGAGAGCTATCGTTTCTTTCAGATTATATTGGAAAGAAATACTTATACAATTATTTCTGGTAGCCTTCATAACTGCCTCTGTCTACGTCATAAGTTTAATTATGTTTTTATAAATGTTTTATGTAATTATTTATCTAATTAATTATGACTGTATGGATTTTCCAACAGATTGCTTGAATGTGCCAAACCCAAGCGAAAATTTTTATTTATTCATCCATTCTGTTCTCACAATTAAAATATAATATATACGTACATTCGAAAATGCACTGTAATCATAGGGTAACAATTAATGATCCGAAGGATAATAATATAGAGTAAATTAACTTGCAAAACATTCTCAAAAAACATGTCATACCGGCCACATCGAATCGGCCAGAAACTTATGGAAAGTTCAATAGAACTCCACTGGCCTAGCGAATTAGCCGGGTTATTCTATTAATTTTTTTCGTGCGTGATAAGGTAAGAATTCCCCCAAAGATAGCAATATAGAATGAATTAACTCGTAAAATACTCTTAAAGAAATTTCCATTGTTCAAATATAATTCATTGGGATAATTAGGACACTGACATTGATCACTCGAGATGGAAGTTGTTGGAAAAGGATATCAAATCCATGATACTCCTGATTCTCGAACTGAGTGACTTGCTTTGTCTCGAAAATCTACAGTTCTTTCTTTCCCGATTCCCCGGAGATTTCCTCACGATGTGATGAATGAATCCGTTACTGTGCGGTTTTTCGGCATATATCACAGCTTGTTTGATCGTTCTCTGTCCTTCGAAGATGTCGTCCATTTTCTTGAGAAAGTCCTTTATGAGCTCTGGCTCGTGGGACTTCGATGGCAGCCAAATCGTGATCTCCTCCAAACGATCACAAGCATTGTTGACCATGTTCGGAATTTCCCCGAGGATTGCGCCCAATGTGAAGCTTGCTTTCGTCAGATAAGGGCCGCATCGCTGCAGAGCCACGAAGCACTCTCTGAGAGTCAATATCTCGTCATCGTGGGTAGAATGTTCATCATTCTGAACACCAAATTCGCTCACATGCCACTCCTTCAGCTCTGGCCAGCCTTTGGTACTTATTCTACGCCACCTCTTACAAACTGAAAGAGATTATTTACATTAACTATGTTTCGCTGATCATATCGTGGGCGGTAAATCGACTATTAATGTTATCATCGTACGTATGAAAACAATCAATAGAAAAACGCGACGCTTTCTTCAAGGAATTCTATTGCTGTTTTACGCCAAGTTCTGCCAAAAAATTATATTTTTCCATGAAGAGATCTTTCGTCGTGTTGAATGAATTTACTTGTAGACAACAAAGAAAGTTTTCACCAAAACATTATAATTTTCGTCAGAGTCTTTGTTCTAGTGAAACATTTCAGTAGCGAAGTGGTAAAACGGTTTAAGTCGACTTATCTCCCAGTTAAGTTTTTGGGGAATATTACGGAATCTAAGGGAGATAGCGACATTTTCGTAATTCCATTTGTTATAGCTCTTAATCGGCTCTACAAAAAAGGTTTGTTTAAAACACAGCAATAGTTTCCTATCTAATGGCACCGGGCTCAAAGAAAATTCTCGAACGACCTCGGGACCCTTCGGGTTCACGGTCAGATCACGGAGTAAATCATCCATCGAGTTCAGTATCGTATCTTCTCAAACTCTGTACAGTCAGTATTGTCGCAATCGCTCTATCGAGTACATCACCGTGAGATACTGAGTTAACGCTCCTAGTAGCGTCTCTGTTCAAGTCAATCGTCTATTAATTTCGAGTCAATTATCAATCATTTTGAGACTATAATCAAGTGAATTATCAAGAGAATTATCAAGTGCAGTTTAGAGACAATTATCGAATTTAAATTGAGACAATTCAACGAACAGTGTAGCCTTATAAAATTTCTAAACGCGTGGTTTACACCACAAATAGAGTACATCACTAGTGGGTTTTTAGTAAATCGCGTGTTCTTAATTTTCACACCTTTTCGAAATCACTTTTCCCCAACCCGCCTAAATTTTTAGCACCAATCTCAAATACAACCCGGTGGCTTGGCGCAGTGGGTAAGTTGCCTCACATGCGAATGGTTCCGAGTTCAAATCCCGGCCGGGTAGAATGGTGCGATCTAACCATTTAAAGTCTTGATCATCATTGCAGTGTACCCTAACCGGGTCGAAGCGATGTAAAATAACAATAAAAAAAAATCTCAACCAGGCTATACCAAAAATTTTGCTATATCCCTTAGATTCCGAGATATTCATTGAAAACTCATGAGTAGTCAAAATCGACTTAAACCGTTTGACCACTTCGCTACTGAATTATTATTTCCAGATACTGAACTGTCTCAAAATAGAATGATTCCAAAAATATATATATATAGTAATGTCGAAGATCTTTTTTGCAAGTTTTTCTGGATTAAAAAGTCCTTTCTCAATATTCAATGATTGAGATTCTCCTGAAGAAATAATGAGTCAGAGAAAATTGTTTTCGTGTTACGGGACATGAAAATTAATATACACACCTCGCCATGGAAAACATATCACCCTCCCCCACGTGCAAGATTGCTTTCCGAGCCGAAGGCGAGGATGACAAGCACGTGGGGGAGGGTGATCCGTTTTCCAAGGCTCGGGCATGTAATGTACTATCATTACCTTTTTCCACAGTTAATTTGTCTCGAATTGTAAGCTTCTTGAATATTTCACGAAGGCAATCATCAGGCAACATCGCCACGAGATTGTCATTAACTTCCTGAGAACTATCCATTATCGTTATTTGTTGAACCGGAAATACTCGCTAAATATTATTTCTCGATAAATAAAATATTATTCCTCAATGAATAATTGAGGGGTGGATCTGTTACTCGAGATGATGATCGAATCTGGTGTTTTCGATGTGACGATTTACCTGTGAGTGTAGTGACACCGGCAAATCTCTTGATTTTTGAACACCTTTTATCATCCGTTGTGTGGTAGATCACAGTCATGCCGATTAGTTGAGTTCATCCAATTGCTAGGGATCTTGATAATTCACGGATGTTAGCAAAGGAGAGGTGGGACTTCTTGGAAGGACTCAGGGGGCTGACACGTATCCTTCAGGTATCGAGGTATAAATCAATTGCATATTGAGTACGCAGTTCTCAGGATCTTTTCAGGAAAGTTTTTTTTTTTTTTTTTTTTTTTTTTNTTTTTTTTTTTTTTTTTTTTTTTTTTAATCCGGGTACCCGGTGGCTTAGCGCAGTGGGTAAGTTCATTGACTCACATGCGAAAGGTTCAGAGTTCAAATCCCGGCCGGGTAGATGGTGTATCATATATATATATATGACGTGAAAAAAAAATTTACCACTGAAGAGTTTGAAATTATGTCACTGAAGAATTTGAAAATGCCGCGTGTTTTTTTTGTGAATAACTTCGTGTCACATATTGATCAATCAGAATGATGAATTAGCGGTCAGGAAGTTTCGAGATATTTCGATATAAAACAACTTCACGTTCCCTTTATCTTTAGTAAAATAGGACTCACATCTTGTCTGACATCTCTGCTATGAACTCATAATTCAAACGATTGAGTTCCCCCGCCAAAACTAGAGGCGCCACCATCTCGGAAAACGAAGCCTACGCCATTATCATTCGGGACGCCACTAGTCGAGCAATTAGAGCTTCAACACCGGTCGTCCACATTTTTTCGGAAAAAGTCATTCGCTCCAGCACTCGATGATGAGTGAAATCGAGGTGAGTCCTTCAACAACAACATTCTTCCACTAAAATCACCTGTCTTTTCCAATTACATAATGAAACGGGACCATGTGATACCCAGATATCGATCCCCTCCATTCTGCCAGTGATTTTTCAAATTTTTCTCTTGTTTTTTTTTGTTTACTTATTTATATCGAGTTCAATGCCGAATTAATCTCCCACTGGGGCTGGTGTTTATCATTAGCGCGGGGGATCTTCGCGTAATTAGTTGGGTAACCCTGAGTTACACATTTGTTTATCGTTGCCAAGCAATTCAATAAAGGTTAAACCGAGGGGTACACGTTTGGGGGAGAGGTAGCACTTTTGTTTGACTCATTGGCAATACCATTCTGATCAATTGATTGAGAAGTGTAGGCTTATACGTACTAAAAAACGTCGCAGGACACTACGATGAAGGTATTTTCCATCTTCTGCTGGAAGTTTCAGTTATGGCATGTCTGTAAAATTTTTATGTGTCGTTCCCTTGAAAATTTGATTTTTCTGAGATAAAAAAGTAGCTTCTGCAATATTTTTTACAAGAATAACTGAGGAATTGTGGTCTGAATGCTAAACATGAATTTCTGGAAAAAAATTATCATTTATACATCAATGTTTTTTAGTTCATTCCGAAAATGTTGACAATAGATTTTTTTATATGAAATTATCTCGATGAGCAGCAGTTTTAGAGGGAAATGAATTTAAAATGGCCGAAAAAAATTATTGGTAATTTCATCGTTGATAATTTCTTACATGAATTTCAAAGTTGAAGAAAGCAAGAAATGAATCCATGAATTTCTCTCTACCATTATTTTCTTAAACAATAGTATGAATAAAATTTAAAAAATACTGTTTAATCAGCCAAAATATTGCACTTTGAATACCTATTTCAAATATGATTTCATCATATTCAACGATTTAGAATAATATCCCCATGCAATTTTCATAAAATTCACCAATTAGTTCTCATTCCTCGTTCTTTTGAATGAAAAAACACAGCACTACATATCTGAGATAGTATTTCATAATCATTAACTATTTAAAACATTTCCATTGAATTTTCATTCAATAAGGCCCAATCTCAAAATAGTCGTGAATTTCGTTTTTTTTAAATAATCACATTTGTAGAAATTGTGGTTTTAGTTGTGAAAATCCAATTATTCTCTCCCATATTCAATGAAAAATTCAAGTAATCCGTTTAAATAAAAAATACAATTTAGTTAGCGAAAATATTAAACTTTGAATAACTATTTCACATATGATTTCATCACGTTCACCAATTCAGAATAATATCTCCATTTGTTTTTCATCCAATAATGCCCAATTCCAAAATTCTTCTCAACTTCTTTTTTTTAATATTCATGGAGGGTTTAGAAATTTAAGTTTTCTTTGTGAAAAACCAATTATTCTATTCCATACACTGATAGAGAGGATTAGTTATTGTTAACGAATGGATTTGATTGGAGGCTAGGGTCTATTCGGTCTCACCAAATATTCATTCGTTAACAGTTAACGAATCTCATTTGGAACAAATTAATCGGTCTATCAGTGGCCGCATTGAAAAATTTTAATAATCCATCCAATTATACAGAAAAATACTATTAAATCAGCCAAAATATTAAACTTTGAATAACTACTTTAACAGAATTTCCAAGATTTTCAAGGAATATTTTCAACATTAAGTATAATATCCTGATGTAGTTTTCATAAAATACTCCAATTGTTTCTCATCTCCTGGGGAGCTATGATTTTTTTCCGTGATCAGAACCAATTTTAATTATAGTTTAACCAGGAAAGAAATACGAATGAATAAAACCGAGGAGTGATCGACATGAGAAGAATTCAAATATCAAAATGCTCAAATGTTTGGTACGAAGGGAATTCAACCAGAAAAATGAATATTCCTAATATACAGAAAAATACTATACAGAATATTATACAGAAAAATACTATTAAGTCAGCCAAAATATTAAACTTTGAATAACTACTTTAACAGAATTTCCAAGATTTTCAAGGAATATTTTCGACATTAAGTATAATATCCCCATGCAGTTTTCATAAAATACTCCAATTGTTTCTCATCTCCTGGTTCTTTAAATTAAAAAAAAAACAGCACAGTGGTAGTCGGAGCGCCAGCCCCCGAAGATCCCGAGCAGTTGACGATGGTATTCGTGACTCTCGTTCACGTTCAAGGTCACGCGACCGCAAGGATACCCACAGACCCGTAAAAGAGTACTCGAGGTCACGAAGTCGTTCAGTGTCACGTGGACGTAAATCCTATCGAAATGCCAAATACTCAGCTGGACGAAGTCGTAGTCGTGGTAGATCACCCTATCGTAGTGGCGGTGGACGTTACTCCAGGAGCAGATCAAGGTCGTATTCACGATCGAGATACTCGAGGGAGAGGGACAGAAATATCTATCGCTCTCACTCGAGGAGTCCAATGTCGTCGAGACGAAGACACGTGGGGAATCGGGATAATCCGTGTCCCTCGAGGTGTCTCGGTGTCTTTGGACTCTCTATTTACACGACTGAACTACAGATTCATCATATTTTCTCGAAGTATGGACCTGTTGAACGTGTGCAAGTCGTTAATGATGCTAAGGTAATTGGAAAATTCTTTTATTTGGTTTATCGATTGATTATTATTCCTTTAAGGCCCGGGTGTACTATCTTTCGAATGTTATCTGGATTTTTTTTATCTTTCGTAATCCAAAATTGTCAATTGAGTAGTACATCATGTAGAAATTCCCTATAAAACATCAATAGAGTGAAAGAGATAGAACGAATGATAGATTGGTGGATTAGACTGAATAGAGTGATAGAGTGAAATTGAATTTTTTTTTTATTTTAAAGCCGGAAAAAATATCTTCAAGATGCCCTAATTTAACCCAATTCCCCCCACTGATCGAGAGATATTGATGATTTGAGAAAGCCTTTTAACTTATCTTCCCTTAGTAAAATAAATCATGATAAGGCTTTTATTCCAACTTGAACCCAATTTTCGTCCAATCTTACTTTTTTTATTGTAAAAAAATTTTTACTTAATCCAAATGAAGACTTTCTTAGTTACAAATGAAAGAGAAAACTAATTTATTAACATGTGATAATCCATTTTTTGGGTCAAATAAGTCGTTAATGTGATTTAAGTAGGAGATTGATTTGGCATGAATGCATTGTTTATTTTACATAACTCCATTCATATGACATAAATATGAGATCATTAAGTTTAACAATATAATTGTTGAAATGAACAGACAGAATTTCAAATATAGAGTTTTCTACATATATTTTTATTCAAAACAGTTTAAACGAAAAATATCGCGAATTGATGTTTTATAGAGAATTTCATAATTTGCAATAAAGTATCTCTAAGCATTTTTTTATAAACCCTATTATTTTCGAAATATTGTTCAAATTGAGATAACAATGTTATAAATGATGTTCTAACCATGTCCAGAGGGTTTCCAACACCTTTTGGAAGATGAACAACAGCCAGAGATTTAGAACAATTGTTTTCGAGGATGTGCAATTCGTTAAAGGCCTCTGGCTACAGATCTGTCGTATGAATTTGTTTGATTCATTCATTGTGATTCAATCTTTTATTTACGTCTTTCCCCTGTGTTTTCAGACTGGACGGTCTAGAGGCTTTTGCTTTGTATATTTTGAATCGAGTGAGGATGCCAAAGTTGCCAAGGAGCAATGCTCGGGGATGGAAATGGATGGAAGACGAATCAGAGTTGATTTTTCGATAACTCAACGTGCCCACACACCCACCCCTGGTATTTACATGGGAAAACCCACTCATTTGCATGACAAGGGGTGGAGTGGACCCAGACGTAGAGAGTAAGTATCATTCTCAGATTTTGTCAGTCTTCAAAAACCGATAGTTAATTTAATTCAAAGAATTCTTGAATGATTGTATTTATTCTGCAATTTAATTTGTTTCATTAAAAATAACTTATTTTGATTCGATGAATTATCTAAATTAACCGAAATGCAACTATTGTTCTAAGAATTGAATAAATTACAAGAAAAACTCGAATCAATCGAAATTTTAATTAAACAATTATCTACGTTAAGAGAGAATTTGTGAGAGAATGTTAGGAACACATTTAACAAACTATACACGAAATAATTCCTGCAAATCTCGATCTCCACAACAATGTCTTCTCTCTTGTCCTTAATAAATTAATTATAATATCAGTAAAAATTGAAATATAAATTGAATTACCAATCCTTTGCAGAAGCTCTAGCTACAGAGGAAGTTATCGACGCTCCCCGAGTCCCCACTACAATCGTCGCAGAACACGTTACGATCGTACCAGATCACGCTCTTACTCTCCACGTAAGTCAGATCCTTCCATGATTCCCTCTATGTATGAACTCACTATACCATAATCAGACATACCGGCCCACTTGTATGTGCTTCAGATTAATTAACCTTCATCCCCTCCATTATCTTCCAATTGACAAAAATTAATTGTACAAAGATGACTATTTCATCGATAAATGTGATGATTCCAACGTAATAAAATCACCCACCAAAACAAATAAAAATAAACATTAATTGTCTGAATCATACATTAACTGGTATGTCTCACTTTCACTCGATAAATCGTTTCATTTAATATTTTACTCGATTAAGGTATTGAGAAAACCCATAAAATATAGACGACAAACTGACGAGAGATGCGTTGAGAGCCTCGGAATTATTTCATTAGATAAATATTCTTTCTTCTAAACGAATATGACCCTTGTTACTCACGGGTTCAAAAAGATAATTGCAAATCATTAGTATTTTTCTTTCTGTTGCTTGATGAATTTCAGGTCGATATTAAACTGAGCGATCGAGAAGGCCAGGTGTTTCGGGAGCCATTTATCTCTGAACTTTAATCCCCCCCTGCCCCTATTTTTTTTGAATTTATTGTCTTTTTCTTAATTCGAAAAAGCAAATGCGAGCGATTTTATGGCTTGATTAGATTTTTTTCTATTGAGGGGTCGGATTGACGTGCACGTGGGGCATTCCTAGAGTCCAGTGGATTCTCGTCTTACTTTGTCTTGGAGGTTTCGGGGAGGGAGGAGGCTATGGTGATGGTGTTGGATTTAATAGCACAGAATGAGTCAATTTTCATTTTTTTTTCTTTATTCAATTTTCGAGTGGTTCTGGGTAAACATATTGGGACACTTTTTTTATGTAGAATTACTTGAAATTTTGAGATCAATCTATCTACTAGCTTCAGAATAATTCGCAAAAATATGGAATTATAATTGAGGAGTTATTTTTATTTTTATTTAGAACTGGGAGTAATTGAATTTATCTTGACTACGAGTGGTTTTTGAAAAAATATCAGGAGAGATTTCTTTACTGAGAATTTCGTAATTCACGAAGAAAAATTTCTTGACATTTTTTTCCAGAATCATTCGTTGTCGAGATAATTTCATTCATTAGATCTTTTTTCTTCAAGATTGAAACAATAATAGTCAATTGAGAAAAAAAAGAGGTTTTTGTCTCTGAAAAATAAATTTGAAAATCTGTTGTAGAGCAGAACGAGACCCAAATGCTCATCTGTTCTGAAATTGTCCCATTCTGTTCTTAATTCATCATATTTCGCCATTGCAATCTTTTTTTGAAAAAAAATCCCCAAAATATGCACTTGAGGCACAGTAAGGTGGGAATAGTGGGAGGCCTTATTTTCGTGAAAAAAATTATTTTTTTCCCTTTTTTATTATGAGAATAAGGTTGAGGGGGATCTATATTCTTACGGCTATAATGTAAAGGTTGGAATATGATGGAAATATCGATTTTCATACGAAATTACTAGTTTTTTAATTGAACTGATCAATAGTTCTCGATTTATTGATTCTGTGGAGGGATCAAACGGATTAATCTGGGGTCGACAGTCACCCCAGGTGGTGGCCCGGAAGATATTGTGTTGCAGGTTGAAAACACAATATTAGGAAATCTTTATCTCCAGTAGTCTCTCCAAACTTTGAAAAAAAAAAAAAAATTGTGATAAACTTCCTTTTGGATTCATGAAGAAACTGCTGGAGATAAAGACCTCGTCATAATGTGTTTTCTACCTGGAATTTCCTTAGCTATCGACGTAGACGACTTCTAGATTGTCCAAACAGTGTTTAAACAATCCAACAGTAAAATTTCAAAACGTAAAAACTCGATTTTTACACGTGTTCAATTTAAAATGTGACTTTATCTCGTTAATGAGTGGCTCTGGTGGAAAACTTCACACGACATTTTTTGTGGGAAATTTCACGATCTGCCAAAAGGGATTTGTGACTTTTTCCCCTAGATCTACTCGTTTCCCAGATAAATCCACAATTACAAATTATGTTTTACGATTGCACAAAATTTATGCCGTTTCATCCTTCCACGAACGAATGATAGTAGAACGTTAAAGACAGTTATATTCCAACCGTATTGATAAGTATCCTACCTTCCCCATTCTCGAGGGTACGACACTACTAATGTGGTAATTTTCCTTTTGAAAAATAAAAAAAAACAATTACAAACCATTTATTATAATAACTAATTACTATAAAAATATAATACATATGAAAAGCAACATTGTAACTTCTCTAACATATTTGTTTGTTTATAAGGTTTTGAATCAAGAGGTATTGGATGATAGAGGGAAGTTTGAAGTTTAAAAAACCTTGAAAAATTGTATGGGCAAGAAATCATGAAGATTATTAGCAGATAACAAGACAAAAAATTGATAAAATTCAATGTTCAAGAAATATCAGAGTCGAGTTTTAAATTATCTCGTGACAAAGAATATGATCTACAGTTTGACGTCAAGAGAAGTCTTGGAGACTTGAAGAATGAAAAATCTGTTCAACGTATGAAGTTTTGAGGGATATAAACGTCATCAAGAGACGGAAAAATTGAAAAAAAAAGTACATTTGAAAGAGATTCGAGTCGTGGTCACCTGAAGTATTCAAGATGTTCGTCGATTATTCACTTTCAAGAGTACATTATTCTCCGCTGATCATATTCTTTATCAGTTTGAAACGAATTCAACGACAGGATTATGATGAAAAAGAAGGCACATTGAAGAAAATGAAGCTATGAGAACTATTCAATAAAAGTGGAAAGTTATAAATTTATGTAAATTCCAAATTTAATCCCATCCTACGTCCCTCCACCATCCCATCACCTTTCCTTTTGGATGATTACTATAAGCATAATGATGATTTGTGTTTATTTTCTTTTATGTTATCGATTGAGGATATTTGGATTTAATAAAGAGAACAAGTTTTTGGTGATTGTTTATTTCCTGCCCTTTTATTGATTATTGATTTGTGTATTGAATATGTTTAACAATAAAATTATTGAGATCATGAATTTTTCATTGTGATTTGGGGGATTTATGGGGGGGTGGGACCGTGTACTTCTTGAGTTGCTGAAATGAAAAGAGAACCAAATTTTAGTGAGTACATTTTAGTTTGAATGTTTTAAAATCAGCCCGAAGAATTTCAGCTGGAAAATACAATGTGAAGATCTTTTTATTTCCCTCAGTTGTTTAAGAATTTTAAAAAGAAGATAGAATTACCCGCGCACTGAGGATTATCATAGAAGAAAATTAACTAATGAATTATATTTTTCTGATTCCAAATGGAAGCATTGTAATCGTTCAAATTTAAGTCAAGATTTGTTGTGTTATATCGACCCATTATGATTCAAAAAATCCGAAAATACAATTTTTAGACCATATCCATACGTATGTGTGTGGTAAAGTTTTTCTTCAACTTTTCGCTATTGAATAAATGGAATTGAATCCTTTTTGTAGGGGAGGTTGGGGTAAAATGGACACTTGACTTTTTTAAAAATATGAGTGATGGGTTGAAACTTTGATGAAATTTAATAATTTTTTTCAATACAAAGAACAATTCCTTCCCTTTGTGATGAGCCTAAACTGAACTCTATTGACACATTTGTTTCTGAGTTATGAATAATTTTAAAAAATTCTCAAGTGTCCATTTTACCCTACCCTCCCCTATGGGAGTCGACAAAAAAATTAAATTTTTTCGAATTGATAAAGGAGCCAAATGTGTCTTATCACATTGAGCTTTCCAGCAGAAATTTTTCTCGATATTGCGGGAAATGAATAGCTCATATTTTTATTACCTTTGTAAGAATATTCCAAGGCTGTTGCGATGGTCCTCATGTCCCCCTCGATACTTCTCGCCCAATTCTCAGCATCACCGATCTCCTTCAGGGCACTGGAGAAGGTCTCCACGAGGGTCAACCAGGAGTGCGTCTGTTTGGCGAAGGCCGTTGCACTCTGCTGCAACTGCTTCGCCTCAGCGTCGAGTTTCTTCTGGTTTAAATAAGCCTGAGCCACTCTAAAAGTCCGGGGGAATTTCAACGATCACTTCGTGACTATTTTTATCCCACTTTTTTAATTATGTTTATTATACGTGAGTAATGATGGCGTAATTTTCAATAGACTATAAGGAAAATGCTTACCCGACGTTCAAATGATCTACAAGTGCCTGCGTCAAGTTGTTGGCAGCTTGAACAGCTTCCTTGCGCTTCTGTTCTGCTCAGAACAATTAAAACAAGTGAGAAATTGCTCTTGTATTGCATATAGTATAGTTATTTTTGCTTATAAATTCGCAATAGGCTGCGAATGGTTATTTTGCACATCATTTCCTTCTATCATTCATTGTTTAAGTCATTTTATTCCCTATATCAAAATAACGATCATTGTTATCGCCTTCGTCTTCGAACTCGGTCAAAGGGGGGCATCTAATCAAATTTTTTAAGCCATCATTCAATCAATTCAGAACATTTTTTTTAGTTATCGCGAGACAATCGATTTTCGAAAAAATCATAAAATTAAATGTGTTAAATCAGAAAATTAATGTTTACAAAAATAATAATTCTGTGCAAAATGGAATTTGAATGGCGCTGAATATTTAGGATTTTTTTTCAAATTTTTCTCATGCAGTTTAATTGACACATTTGATGATTGAAAATGGTTGAATCTAGGGGTGGGTGGGGTAAAACGGTCACTAGACTTTTTTTAAATTATTCATAACTCAGAAACAAATTGACCAATTGAGCTCAGTTTAGGCTCGTCGCAAAGGGAAATGATTGTTCTTTGTAATTGAAAAAAAATTATGAAATTTTATCAACAATTCAACCCCTCATTCATTTTTAAAAAAAGTCAAACGTGTCCGTTTTACCCCAACCTCCCCTATAGTGTGATCTCGAACTGTAAAAAATACTTGTATATCCTTAAAACAGATGAACAGTACCTTGGAGCTCTTTCCTCGCTTGCTGTTTGCTCTGGTGCTCCTTCACGATACTCGATAACATTATTATGACAGGGATAACCTCTTGATGACAGCTAAACGGAGCACTTTACCTGTTCACAGAATTTTCCGAATCTACTGTTGTTCCACACCGGATTCTAGACATAGTACAAGTAAAACTGGTGATAATAATTATTCAGTATGATTATTTGGTGATTTCGGGGGTTAGTTATCTATTTATTCGAGAACTACTTCGACTTCAAACATGGCTAGTTGCAACATAACAAGGGGGGGCCGTAAAGTAGTGTAGATAGAGAGGGAGAGGCACTGATTGAGGTACTATTTCATTGAAGATTTTTCCTTTTGAAGTGAATAAATCGACGGAATAAAAACGCAAGACAATGAGTTTTTATGAAAACAAAAATTATAAAGCGATGAAAAAATGTGAAGAGTAATTGAGGAAGAAAATTGATAATTAATATTAATCATTTCATTAGTTTAAACTAATGAAATTTTACGGGGAAGAATTAACGAAGAAAAAACCTCCAAACAATTTCACAAAATTTTTAACAAAATTTATTATCTTCAATTCACCCCTTTCTCGTCACAATCTCCTCATCTCCCTAAAAAAAAAAAAAATACAAGGCAGTTTTATGACTGCTCATCCCCACTGGAATGGTATAGAATTCAAAATTTCCTCAACATCTCGAAAATTAAAAAACAAACTTTTGGTATGTAATAAAAGACAAAAGAAAGTGACGAAGAAAACTTTTTAGGCCTTTAAATAGTTAATAAAACCACGTAAAAAGCCCCAACAACCCATAATTAGGGGAATCATATCGTCTAATGGAATTTTTAGGGAAACAATTAACGAAGAGAAAACCTCCAAACAATTTCACAAAATTTTTAACAAAATTCATTATCTTCAATTCACCCCTTTCTCGTCACAATCTCCTCATCTCTCTCAAAAAAAATAAATACAAGGCAGTTTTTTGACTGTTCATCCCCACTGGAATGGTATAGAGTTCAAAATTTCCTCAACATCTTGAAAATCAAAAAAACAAACTTTTGGTATCTAATAAAATACAAAAGAAAGTGACGAAGAAAACACTTTAGGCCTTTAAATAGTTAATGAAACCACGTAAAAAGCCCCAACAACCCATAATTAGGGGAATCATATCATCTACTCGAATTTTAAGGGAAACAATTAACGAAGAGAAAACCTCCAAACAATTTCACAAAATTTTTAACAAAATTTATTATCTTCAATTCACCCCTTTCTCGTCACAATCTCATCTTCCTCAAAAAAAAAAATTACAAGGCAGTTTTCTGACTGTTCATGCCCAAAGGAATGGCCTTGAGTTCAGTCCTCATGCACAGAAATTCGCCACAGACACACATGATGGTCATCGACACGATGTTGAGGCACCACCAGCTGAAAGTAGTGGGAAAACTCGAGTTGTAGCCCCAGCAACAGAGTAAGTGGATCAAGTGGGCAGTGCAGGTGAAGTCCATGCACTGTTTTGTCCTCTGGACGAGCCACCAGAGAGCCAAAGCCCCGACCAACGAATTCATCACGAATATTGCGATGACTAATCTACCCCCGTGATCCCTCACGTGAATCTCTTTGTAGTGGAATGCGTAGTCCAGTGATCTAGTTGCTCCTAAGAACATCGTTATTATCCAGATCCAAATGCCCAGGGAGAAGTACAGGACCGTCTGGACTGCTGTTATCTGGGATATTATCAGCAGGGGGTCCCACGTTGTCTTGCGAAATTGTCCTGAGATGCTGTTCATCTTTGTGTGGTTATTTATGATATTCGATAGTGGGGGGTTTATTCAGGGGTGTCTTCGAGGCATGAGTGAGGCGAGAGTGCGTTGATCAACATCTTCAGCCTGTTGAGAAAGAGAATAAAAATTATTCTGATAAAATATTCTGGAAAAAATCTCTTGATCATTTTTATTATCATTCATGCTTATCCATTTTTCGAAAATTGAATTCAGTAGTGAAGTGGTAAACGGAGATAAGTGGACTCATCTCCCAGTTGAGTTTTTGAAGAATATTTCCGAATCTGAGGGAGATGGCGAAATTTTCGTAATCATATTTGTTGTAGCACTCAATCGGCTCCACAAAAAAGGTTATAACAAAAATTTTGCTATATTTTCTGAATATTTATTCAAATTAAATAATTAAAACTATAGAATAAAGGAAAAGCTCAACAACTTTGTCAATTACCCATTCATCTCGGTAATGAGTCATTTTACGAGAAATTATCAAAAGCCATTCTTTGCAGAGAATTCCCTGATCTATAAAAAAAATGTTCTAACATTTCCTCGTAAATCAAATCAAATCAAAGGTAACATTTCTATTGACTCAACTGGAGATCAAGTGCGGAGTCTTTATTAATTATATATTTAGGGGAGGGTAGGGTAAAATGGACACTTTTGACTTTTTTAAAAATATTCATAACTCAGAAACAGATTTATCAATTGAGCTCAGTCTAGGCTCATCACAAAAAGAAATCGTCATGAATATTTCAAAAAAGTCAAAAATGTCCGTTTTACCCTACCCTCCCCTAGCTCTCTAAAAATAATTTTCTGAAATTCATCAAAACCTTAAAATATAGTAAAAAATCGACAACATTGGGAAATTATCCTT